GATGCTGTATCTCTCAATCATGCAAAATAATAATAATAATAATAATAATCCTTAAAAATAAATATATAATTGAAATAATTGTTTGTTTCTTATGATTTGGAAAGGACAAAGAGGTGGAGCTCTTGAAAAGTCTTTCTGTGGGCATTAATCTTGTAAAAATCAGTGTGACTGCCTCGTGTGGCTTTTCTTGGTGCTATTTAAGATGTTCCAGTATTTGCAGATCAAAAATATTCATATCAAAATTATCTGCCAATGCTACAACGGTACTTATGCATTGCACATTTAAGATAAGGCATTACAGGGAAGCAAGAAAACTTCAAAACAAGGCCAAGGAGATTATCACTTTGCAGAAAATTAAAAGCTACATGGCTTTAAAGAATACTGAAAAATTTGCCTTATGCATTAGCCAAAATATATTTCTCCATTAGCTCCAATGAAAGAAGCAGGCCCTCATTTTGTACAGTTTTCCTGAACGGTGAAAAAGGAGTCGTCCATTAAGCACACTCACATTTACAATTTCAGTGTCATCTCAGGAGAGCAGTATACATAGGGAACTGAGGAATAATACCTGCAGTGTGACTGCAAGGCCAAAGGCTATCACTGATGTCAGATAACACCGCACTTCTCCGATACGTTTTATATGTTCGGCCAATAATGCGGCTCACCTGGAGATCCTCAGGCATTGCACCAAGATGAACGGCTGACACAGAGAAAGGCACAGACAGCTCAGATAACTTTCGAGTTATCAGGCATCTCCTTCATTTAACCACACTTACTTCCACGCTGACTATTGTGCCAGCTCTACACAAATCTATGACCATTTCACCACTTACCATTCCATTAGGGACATTGAAAAATTAATGACAGTCTAGGTCTGATATCAGCTTCAGTGATCACTCTGGCTCATTAGGGCTTTAGACCTTTCCTCCTTTCAGCATTACCACTAAGCAGATCAGTGGAGAAAACACAGTTTCTGTCTACCAGAACACACACTCGTCCTCTTTCTTTCACTCACTGTCAAAAGTCTTCTTCTATCTTCTGCTTCAGGAAAGCTCTTTGGGCTGTGCCTGTGAAGCCACAATAGAAGGAGCACTGCGTGACCACCTGCACACATCCAAGCAGGTCCCTTCACGTGAGCACAGCTCTCCAGACTCATAAGTTGTTTGGACTGAGATTGTCCCATGTTCAGCAAACGTTTCACCCAACTCTCTCCACCAGCCCTTAAACACATGACTGCCCTCTGTCTGTCTGATCTCTTTACATGCTTTATGCACACATTTTAAGTGCCTTGCAGAATCCAGACACCTGCTTCTCCATTCTTCAGAAGGCCATGTCTGTTAAACAAGTGACATTAGATGATTATTTACTATACCATTAATTTATAGGGTATTTCTTACTTTATACATTATTAAAGGTTGTGCACCTTTCTAATGCAATAAATTAATGGCAGAAATCCCACTGACATCACTGAGGACAGGTGATAAACAGAAATCACTGGAAACGCTTCAATACCATTTACTCCACTTACATTATTTTATTACTGCGGCTTCGTATTCTGCAGGTCACAGTGAAATACAGCCACATGTAAGGCCTCAGGTAACAGAACAGTACCTCTGTGCATATCTGTTACACACCACAAAAGGCAGCACCCGGGTTCTTTCACAGCCGTGAAGCTTAGGGCACAGTTATTCTGCAAATACACAGAAAATTTGAACAATTTACACTTCCTAAGATCAGTCCATCTGAAATTTCCTACTGTGCTGACAGAAGTCAGAAACAGCTTGGGCAACTGTGTTTAGAGTCAGAGTGAAAAACCATATTACTGAGACACAGGTGCACTTGCAAGCCTACCTGAAGACAAACACACAGCATACATAGCAGCGTCACAGATCTTCCAGGACTGCTTTCTACGGGGGAAAGTACTGATAAGAAAAGTCTCTATGAGTTTGATATGTTATTAGCCAGCTACGTTAATCTGTTCCGCTATTGCTTTCAAATATGAACCAATCTCATTTACACAGAATGGTGAGGATGGGACTTGAACACGAGATGCTGCTCCCAACCCATGAGAATGCCTGTCTTTGCTCAGCCCTGCAGTGCTGCTGGACACATCCTGTGCCTCGGGAAGGAAAGCTTTGTCACTCAGGCTTCTGAGGCCTGGATTTCAATCCTTGTTGTAACACTGTGCAACAAAAACGCCATTATCTTAGACCTTTACATGAAATATGGTGATGACTATGGCACAAGCAAGCATTCAGATTGGATTCTGTAATTTTTTCTATACAACTGAAGTGCATACCTCAAATGGAGCTGGAGGCTTCAATGATTCCTGCAATATTCACACTAAGATCCTCTGCCATCACCACTGAGACAACAGCATTAATGATCAATCACACAGGCTGTCCTAGTTACTTCCAAGCTCATTACAAAGGCAGAATCTGTTATCCAGGATCACAGCACAATTCTTCTAGCCCTAACATTACCAGGGCTGCCAGATAGAACTGTATGGGCTTTAGAAGAGCTGCTACAGCATCTCTTTACACGTCTGTAGTTGCTCTCAGGTTGACACCTCTCCTCTGATCTCACCTGAGACAACTGCTGATGTTTCCTTTGCATCTGCTGTAAGTCATCTCTTTGGTTGCTTGCCACTGCCAATTAATGCTCTGTACTTCAAACCAAACAGGACAGAAAGACTACAAGGCTAGCTCCAAGCCTGCCAATGATTTACTAAAACACAAAGTTCCACTGCTTATTAGTTAACTGGACTTGACTTGGAAAAAGAAAAATACATGTATTGTTTTTAACTCACTGAAAACAAATTTATTTCAAAGCAGAAAGTAGAAGATTCCTAGCAAGAGCTTATTGATATGAAGACTCTATTCAACACCTGCACTGCCAGGAGTTCAGCTCTGAAGGAAGGAAACAAACAGAAGGGCTTTAATAGTCCTGTAGTACTACAAACTATGATACCCAGAGAGGGAAAAAAAGAGAAGTAAAGCTGTGCAAGTACATAAATGTTAGGAAGAACAACTCAATAGTGCCTTCAGAAGTTCTTAGAAGAGCAAAAGCAAACAAAAGAGCAGCAAATTAATTATTTTTCTTTGTAGGAACAAATGTTAATCATTCCTGGAAACAGTACTCGGATTTTTTTTATCAGATTTTGCATGGTTGTTAACTGCTTGATATCTAGCAGCTCCTCTTGTAGAATAAGCAGCATTTTTTCCACAGCATTATCTTGCCTGCATATTATCTTTCACAAATTTTCTTCCACAAATCTGTTTCTGAACCTCACAGGGACTCAATCACCCAACGTAACACATGCCCTGCAGCCGGGGAACGAGGCAGGCAGTGGAGCTGGGCAATGGGTTATTTGCTTGAAATATCCCTCTGCACACTATGCTCATTCCTGATGATTTCATTCTAATCGTAGCAGAGGGAAACCTGCACTTCAGATGCGGTGTCATTAATAAGTAAATAAACGCTGGTAACCCTAGAGTGCAACCTGTATCGATATACAGTGACATCAACTTGATTCTGAAGTTCAGCTGTTTTAGGCTTCTGTAAATCATCTTTCAGACAAGATAAGCATGTCTTGTTGTCAGCATTGAATTTCAAACATTAAAAGATCCCTTCACAAGCAATAACAGTGAACATACTGTAGCAATTTGCTCATTGCTATTCCACATCATATTTCAATACAACATGCATTGCAATTAATACAGTGAATAGGATTTCACAATTCATATTGAGAATGCAAAACAGCACAGAGCCCCGCATGCCAGGCAGAGCAGGTGAGCTAACAAGGTGCTGCTCTTAGAGCACCTGGCACTCAGATTTTAGCACAGTGCCTGAACAAGCTGCAGAGGTATTTTGAGCCTGAGCTCACCTTGATTTCATTATTTTCCTCTACATCATTTTTTCTTTAGCTTGTAATAATCAGTGTATTAAGGCAAGTCAAACGTTTACACAAAGCAAACAAAAATAAAGGAAGGCTGCTACTACTGGGACCAAGAGCAGCAAGTGCTCACACTAACATCAAGGGAGCCAGTAGAGATTTTATGTAAACTGCCCTGGAGAAACATCTTGGCAGTAAAATATGTCAAAGGGAATGGCCGTGAAAATCTTCTATGAAATCCTGTATCGACTCATGATGGAATGCCAAAACGTACGTGCCAGGATGAGAATGACTACAGTCTGAGAAGGAAATACCCACTGTTCCCAGCTTTAATGTTTTTCCTCTAAAATTAGGGAATACACGTGAACAAAAAAAATCCACTACTACACACCTGCAACTTCAATTTCTGAGTAGGGAAATAGAGTGAGTGCACGTTGCAAACTGCACGTATATCTATCTCCAATAGATGATTCCTGCAATTCCAAGTAAGTCTGTTACTGATTCTGTGTAATTTAAAATATTCAAAATAAATTATTAAGTAGGCCATCTGGTTATACGTAGCCTTCCAAGGAACAGAGACAAGGAGATGACCGAGTTGCTGAGCTCTGCTGCCCACGGAAGCATGGGCTTCTGTTCTGTCCCTGCCTGGGTAGAGCAGTGCAGAACATGGTCAGGAAATGAAGCTTACAGGAGACAGATCCCCCTAAACTACACCGGTTTCCTCCTCCATACTGACAAGTTATCATTGTTAGAATGGCAAATTGTCACCTGGGATCTCTCATCCCCACCCTCCAAAGGATGAACAGGCTTAAGGAAACCAAACTAGTTTCTTTCCACAGAGGTTTGACTGCTGGAGTCTTCTTGCAGTGAGCAGCCCCAAGGTCCAGGGGTTAACTGAAAATCTTTAGCACGCCTGGGGCCTGAAAGGCTATGTTTTGATGGCAGAGTTGTACTTAATTAAGCACGAGTGGATTTATTAAAAACACTGTTCTTGTCGGCGTTATCTTAGGATATAAATAGGAAGAGAAGTTTAATTAGTTAAGGAAGAAACTTGAGCTAGGTCTCAAATCAAACATTTGATCCATGAAGCAGTAACCCAAGTACTGGTTATTGTCACCTTTTGAATCCTTTATAAGTCAGAGTGACAGCCAGAGCCAACAAGACTACTTTGCCTGGTATCTCCTCAGCTATTTTTCCTTGGCCTAGCTGAGAAAACCATAAAGGTGAGCAGGTGACTTGAGATGAATTAAATGAAATTGATGTGCAGAGCTGCACTGGTAGTAAGTACAATAACCATCGTTGTAAGATTCTGAGCTGAACTCCTGGCATTCTGTGCGGACGGACCTCTCATAGATAAGTATCTGATTTCTTTTTATACTTCAGAGCTGTTGGGGGAGAAGACAAAAAAACCTTCTTGGCTTATTTTTCCCACTGCCTATGTTGTTACTGGTATCATCCAATGCCTTGCATTCCAGTAAGACTGCCTATTAGACTGATGGTAATACTGAGTTAAAGAACAGGATGTACTTCAGCAGCATGCAAGTAGTAGATACAAAATTGGTTGAGAGATTGATCGTCGACTCACAACATTATTTCTGTAATCCATCTCATTAAAAAGCATTATTCCAGCATTGCTATTTGTAAAGAAGCACTGTACTAAATCTTCTAATTTACTGAGTAACAGCAGCAATTTCAGACTGATCGATTGGACTCGTCTGCCCTTGGAAGTCTTGTTAGTCATACATTGCTTAAACCACAGAAAAAATGGTTCTAATGTGCATTTGCATTTCTAATGTTATTGCAATACACTTTTTAACAGGTTTAAAATGAGCCTCACAGACATTCTAAGCCCTTCTGATATTGCTGCTGCTCTGCGGGACTGCCAAGGTGAGAAAACAATTAACTTGATAAAAATGTACTATTTTCTGCAACACGTTGCAAGTCTAATTCAGCCCCAAAGGAATACTGAACAAGCACACACATAATCAGACTTCTGTAGTCTCTCCTATAGCTGCCACAGTATGTATTTGTTCAGGAGATCTTTACATTGGGGGTGGTCTGAGTCTGTATCCCATCCCCACGTGGCTTCCCTTGGTGTGCAGCAGGGAGCTGTGCAGGATGTAACAGCCATCTCCTGTCAGCCTTTACATACTGTTCATGTTTGGAACAATTAAACTGTAATGAAGCAGCATCCTCAGACCATCTAGGGACAGTGAACACAGAGGTCTGGGGTTAATGTATTTATTAATTTATTTTCAGCTCCAGATTCCTTTAGCCCCAAAAAATTCTTTCAGATCAGTGGGATGTCTAAAAAGAGTAGTAGCCAGCTCAAGGAGATCTTCCGGATTCTCGACAACGATCAAAGTGGCTTTATTGAGGAAGATGAGCTCAAGTAAGGATTTTCTGTTACCTTGACTAGTAAGAGACTATCCAAAAATCAGCACTTCTTTCTTTCTAAAACTTTTCTGTAAAGGGATGCCTCAGGTTATGCTAAACATTGGTAAAACCCTCAGCAGATTGTCAGCGGTGCATTTGAGTAGATAACCTCCATAGCTAAAGAGCAAAGCAAGAGATGCTCACCCTTCTCCTTAACCTCCTGGGGCTGGTCTCTGGTAGCAGCAGAATCCAGTGCAGCAGGTCTGGACTCACAGAACAGAACTGCACACGGGGAAGATGTAGCTCATCAAACAAAGTAGCGTTTGGAGGACTTGGCTACCATGGCAAATCTTTGTTTACAGATAGTTGCCTTTTTACCTTTTAGCTTTTTGTCATACAGCCAGCAAAAACAGGGTTACGTGACAATCATAACAAAGGGTGCTTTCCTCCCAGGTATTTCCTTCAGAGGTTTGAGTCTGGAGCAAGAGTGCTAACTGCCTCTGAAACCAAGACTTTCCTGGCAGCTGCAGACCATGACGGGGATGGCAAGATTGGGGCTGAAGGTATTAAATTCTATATAAACAGAAGAAGCTTCTAAGTTATTTGCAATTCCCTTATAGTTGGTGGTTCATTAAGATTCCTTGAGTGACTTTGCTTAAAGCCCTCCAATACTGACCTGTGTCAGAAACAGTCCCTGATAGTACAGGTTCATCTCTGTAACTCCTTATGCACGAGCTAGTAAAAAAAAAACAACAAAAGCAACACCTGGCTGCCCTAAGGATCCTTCTCATTGCCACTCGCTATAAATTCCCAGCTGCTTAAAAGGAACTGATCTCTGTTTCTCCTCCCACCTACTCCGAAGTACAGCAGCAGGAGCATCACACGTAGCAGCACACACCAGGGCAAAGAACCAGCAGCACCACCATCCGCTCACCTCCAGCAGTGTCCCCCACAGAAGTGCTGCCCGCAGCGCACAGGAGCTCACTGCATTGCATTCACCTTCAGTTTTGTGTAAGGAGAACAGAATAACTGAGTGTCCCTGCCCCAGAGGCTCTGTGCATGCCGATGGAAATCACCCATCAGATGAGGAACGGCTCCTTTAGGAAGCAGCTCACTGCACCCACTCCAAGGAAATGCTGTGCAGATGAATGGCTGCTCGGCACAGAAACCTCCCCATCTCCTAAATCCACACTTCGTGGATTACCAAACAGGCTCACCAAACAGGCCATGTGGGAAGCAAGCTGCCCCTCCAGGAGAGGTATTAGGGCACAGCAGAGGAACCACGGCCTGCACCAGGAGCTGGGAGCTGCTGCTTCCTTCTTGGCAAGGAATTGAATACAGCTCCTTAGGAAACGCGCCAGAATAAACACACGTGATTTATGAAGCAATCTGTATCTTAACAGAGCCTTTCTGGGACAGGACTGATCAGATACTCAATGCACAGAAGCCAATGAAAAGACCTTCCAAATAATGTCCCCTTGTCAGCTGCTTAAGCACTACAAACAGTAATAAGACGCAGAGACTGACTTTTAGAACTCCTGATTAAGGTTTTCACTTCTTACTCAAATTCTACGTTAGCCATTGCTTTATTTTTGCTCCAAATCATTATTGAGCACAGGACTAAAACCACCCCGAACACTTCGTTACTCCCTATAACATAACTGTCAACAAACCACTGTCTTTTCATCTGTTCCTTAACTACATTTATTTGCCTAACAGGAAATTTAGGAAATGTTTCTTTTGTATATTTCTTTCCTTCTGATCACAAACCAAGACATTGTTTTCCATTCATCTCTATTCTAAATCTCTCGATAAGCCATTAATCTTTTATTCCCAATTAGTTTATTTTAGTATTTCTATTGTAAATATTCTTTTTTTTCCCCACAGAATTTCAGGAAATGGTGCAGTCTTAAAGGTTCAGAATGACCGAATAGGACAGAATTGGGATGAATCTGGAGAGAAACTGCAAACCCTGAAAATCAGCAGTCCCTTCTGCATTTCTCTTGCTAGTGGCTGTTATTTACTCACTGCATTAGAAACATAATGAAACACTGATTTTTTATTTTTTTTTTCATCGTGTGGACCAACTCTGTTCTAAATTCTGCTTTCCCAGAAATTTCCCTTAAAAATACCCAATAAAATTTAATCACCTACTGTGCTCGTGTCTGTTTTTCTGACCACTAAACTGAAACGTTTCGATTCTTACATGAAAAGTGATAATCTCTCAAAGACCTTGATCTCATCAGAGCCTCATATATGGCTGTGATTGACGCCAGTGGGCGTTCTGTCAACAATGAGCTCCCTGGATTAAGCTGGAATGCTTCAGCATTGCTGCAGTTTTGATGCATTTCTCCCTTTCCTGCAAACGACAACACTCAGAATTGACTGCTTTGTTTTCATCTCCAAAGGCTCTACAAATACTAGCGAAAGTGCAGGAAAAAAAACACTAAACAGGACTTGGTTATCGGATCTTCAGCAAATACACCAGGCCCTCTTCCCCCTCCCAACTTGTATCTTACGTGCATAACATAACAGTAGTTGAGAAATTCATCTTGGGCTCAGCTGTGCTCATTATTGAAGCAAAAGCACTGAGGTACACCAAATTTCTCCTTTTCTTAGCATGAAGACACCAGACAGAACCACAAACAGACTCTACACTGATTCATCCTAATGCCTTCTCCTCTGCCATTACTCGTTAGGGAGCCAAGTACTGCAGAACTGGCCAAGAATTGTCTGCTGCTCTACACACGTACATATTGCTCTACCATTCCAAACACCTGATGGTTACAAATAGAATTTTTCTCTCATTTCAGAACATTTTAATTCAGTTTAATTTAGTTCTTTGTACACTGGGATATCCAAGACACCTGAAAATTTAATATGATCGTGACGTTTTTGCTATTATTGTGCAAAAGTAACACTGATGTAAACTGATTAAAAAAATAACACTGAATTTGAACAATATCTCTTAAGATTAAGAAATATATTTCTTAAGAAACATTCTCACTCGGCATAACTCACTAGAGTATGGAGGCCTTAAAGGCACAAGGTAAGGATCTGACCCACGGAGGTTCTCCTAGCACAAGATGGATGTCACAGGAGATTCACAAGAAATAAAGTTTGTTCTTGGCAATGCAATCAGTCTGATGACAGAAGAGTCTTGGACTAGTTCACATGTAGGCAACAAACAAACCACTCTCCGTTTCACTGACGATTAAATGTCCTGACCTTGACTAACCAGATTACATTAAGCAGGAAAATGCATGCCAAATAATTTTTTTCCAGTCGCTGTTGTTCTGTACTCTCTGTACAACATCTCAGCCCTCGCACTGCAGACCTAGACAAAGAAACACATGGGCAAAGGACAGCTCTGTTATCCTCCTCTGAGATGCAACACCTTGCTGGGGCAGGCTGCTAAACAGAAGGTGGACAGCAGATTCACACAGTGCCCTGATCCAAAACAGATTGATCAGTGAAATTAGCACTCATTTTCCAGAAAGCAGAACATTTGGCAGTTCCCTGCATGAAAGGTTCCTGTAAGACTTCTGACCTACAAAACTTAGGATCAATCAAGAGAAAAGAGGGAAATAACTGATGCACTGCTGTAATTCATCTTCAGAGCTGACATCCTATTACCTGTCTAGCCTTTTCCTCATCCTGTCTTCCCAGCTTTTCTTTCATGCATACTACAGATCTGGGCTACTAGCAAGTGCTGGGCACTCCTGTTAAACACAAGAAATAAAGCAAAACATTCATAATCTCGAGTTCCACATGAAAGTACATTTGTATTGCTATTCAGTGACTGTATTCTTAACCACAGCCAGAGCCAGTACAAAGTTACTGCCTTCCACTATGAAACCTCTGAGTCTGCAAAACACACACAACCATTATTAAACCATCTCCACTCACTGTGATGCTCCAACAGCTGCTCGCATTCCTTGACATCGCACTAAGAACAAATGTGGGGGAGATGAATGACTCTCTTGGGAAGAGGCAGGATCCCCACACAGAGCTGCAGTATTAACAAGGGGCACAGCACAGGGATACGCAGCATTGTGCTTTTTGCTGGATCACAGCGCTGTTTTGTAATTTATTTGCTAAACTAATCCCAAACTGCTGAGTCTACACATTTGTTAACACATTTAGACCACATACTGCCAATGGAGCTGCTATTTGAGCTGTCAGCTGTACTTATTCACAGCTGTCAGCTCCAATACCCACAGTGATTTATACTGTATCTTTTTGTTAAGTCTGCTACTATGCAGCTGATGGAAATGCTCAGAACAGTACCTACAAACAGGCTCAACAGAGTATGGCTACATGTTCTTTTTTTTTTTTTAGTAATAATTGGAAAGCAGTAATAAAGTTCTTAAGTATTTGTCTCTTGATGCCAGGGTTGTTCTCTGCCAAACATCCATGTACTTATGCAGCAGTTTAATTTTACATCATCATGGGCTGGGAATCACATTTCAAACTCAGGGTGATTCGATGCCACTTTGCAAATGTGAAGGTGTGGTGTTACTGCACGTACAATTAAGAAGATGGCATGAAACTGGAACCTCAATTGAAGTTTCCTCCTGCCCTGTTAATTTGTTCATTAGAGATGTAATAATTTAAATTAATTGAATCTATTATCACATACTCTTTGTAGATTACCACAAATACCCACACAGAGACCAGTATCACGTCGCAGCTGGGATTGCAGTGAGCAGCGCTGTATTTTAGCAATCGCTACAGGTGCATCCATTCCTTTCCGAGGGATGCTCGGCTCAGAACACCAGAGTGCCGTCAGAGCTTACAGTAAGGGCAGCCACCGCCCGCACACAGCCCGGACATTTCGTGTATGACAGCACTCGGTCCTCCTGTCCACGGGCAGCAGCTCCGCTCCGCCAAGAGCTGAGCGCGCCCAAAGGCAACCCCAGCACAGCACAGCACAGCATAGCACAGCATAGCATAGCACAGCACAGCACAGCACAGCATAGCACAGCACAGCACAGCACAGCACAGCACAGCACAGCACAGCACAGCACAGCACAGCACAGCCCCGAACCCGCGGCCACTACCGCCCGCACGGCGCCGCTGCTGCCGCCCCGCCCGCATCACGCCGCGGCCCGGCGGCGCTGAGCTCTGCACCGCGGCTTCGGGCTGCACGCGCGCACCGGGCTCGAGCCGGGCTCGTGCTGCTTCGCGTGCTCCACCTCGCGTGAGGCCGGCAGCTCGCCGCCCCGCGCCGCCCCTCCGTTTGTTGCCGCCCGCCGTAGGACGCCGCGCGGTGGGACGGCGTTAAAGGACGTGTGAAGGCGGGATGGCGACAAGCGGTGACAACCGCGGAAAACGAACACGTGGCAAAAATGCCCGTTTGTTTCACACTCAGCCCGGCACGATGTGAGAGCGCTTCCTGCCACACCTTCCCTACGAGACCACGTGGCACGTTACGTCTTTTGCCCCACACAGGAATTCATTTCATCAACGCGTCACTGATTCCTGCAGGTTCCCAGCCGCATACCTGTGCAGGACGCACTCTTACCTAGCTGGCTCTACTTCCAAATTCGCACCGAATTTCCTTTGGGTCTGGAAGTTCACAGGAAAACACGAAGCGACGGAGCCCCGCCCCGCCGCTGGGAGCGCTGTGGAGAGAGACCCGGGCCCGGGAGCACTTCCGGGATGGCGCCGTGCGCTTCCGGGGAGGAGGGAGGAAGGCGGAAGTGCTCCCGGCCGGTGCCGGCGGAGGGCCGCGGGCTGCTCCCCGATGGTTTGTGGCGGCGGCCGGCCACAGGCGCGCTCGCTTCCGGTTCGGGATGGCGACGGCGGCGGGCGGCGGCCAGGAGAAGCAGCTCGCTCCGACCCTGCTCAGTTTCTTTATCTACAACCCCAAGCTGGGGCCCAAAGAGGGAGAGGTACCGGAGGGGTGGGGAGAGCCGAGGGGGAGAGGAGCGGCTCGGCCCGTCTCCGCAGAGGGTCCCGAGGCGGCTGGGCTCGATCGCCCGGCTCCGAAGCCGTCCGGCAATGCGTACCCACCGGGTTGGCGCCTCGCCCCGCGGAGCCCCGCGAACAAAGGCGGCGGGGGCAGCGCGGCTCCGTTCTGTGTCCGCTCCGGGGGGGACGGCAGCCGGGGCCGTCTCAGGGCAGCCAGTGAAATACTGCGGCCGAGGGCTGAGCTGTTGGTGCTGTGTCAGGGATGATAACTTTATCCATCGCGCTGTAACTTACTAGAAAACTTGGCATAGTCCAAGTTATTGCCAGCAGCGTTTTCATGCTACTGTCACCTTTAATTTTAGTAAGCAATTAAGTTTTTAGGTGATAAAATTGCAGAGCTCATGTGACTGTCTTCACTTTCAGAAGTGTTTTGGCACAAGGCTGCACCCTCACGCACTGTGTATTTATTTATGACCCAGTAATGAGGCTGAATGCTTCCTCACCAAATCCCAGAACTGAGGGAGCTGCTCAGAGGGACGCTCAGCAAGGCGGGGGTTTGGGCGAGCAGAAACCTCCCAAAGGTCAGCAAAGGCAAATGCAGAGAGCTACAAGTGGGGCAGAGCTGCGTCGTGCAGCACAACAGGCCGGGGGCTGCCTAGTTGGAAAGGAGCTTTGCAGAATGGGACCAGGGAGTCCCAGTGAGCAGCAGGTCGCATATGAATCAGCAGTGTGCTCTTGTGCAAATGGACGGCGTCCTGTGCTGTGAGAGTGTATTGGCAGCCAGACAAAGCGATTGCTTACCCTGTTTGTGAGCATGGAGGTCCTTTGGGACTTCCCAGAGTAGGAAAAATATTGACAAACTGGAAGATGAAGGGGCACCGGGTTGGTCAGGGGGCTGCAGTGTGTGATATACAAGGAGAACCCCAGAGAACTGAGACCGTGCAGCCTGAAGAACGGCACGTTGGAAGGAGATCGATAGCTGATTTCTCCTGGCTCAGAGGTGGTTATAGAGAGAACAGAGCCAGGTTCTTGAAGATGCACAGGGAAACAATGGGAGGCAATAGAAGAAGTTGCAGCAAGGGAACTTCTGATGAGCCAGAAGAAATTATTCACATTGAAACGATCAAACACCAGAACAGATCCCAGAAAGGCTGTGGAACCTCCAGCCTTGAAGATGTTCAGAACTTGACTGGCCCTGGGCAGTTGGAGCTAGCTCTGAAGCTGGCCATGCTTTGATCTGGCTTTGAAACTAGCCTTGCTTTGAACTGGCTGTGGTTAAGTCCTATGATTCAAATAGCCTTGGAATTTATAAACCTTCTTGAAATGTCTTGGGCTGACTATTTAAGTGTGCTTAATTATGCCTTTCATTTGTTACTGTGGAAGTTTGTTTAGGTACGAGATATAATTCTGCCTAAAAGATT